TTGAGGTATTATTTTAATATTCAAATTCTTGAAGATCAATGTCCAATGGTAAGGAGAACATGGATAATTAATTGGGTTTATTACCTGTCACTGATTGGAATAGAAATATCTGGTCTTGAGTACAACAATAAGTTTATGCCAGGAAGAATGAAAATAATATTTGAATATTTAAGAAATATCATGACATTTATAGCAGATAATCTTTTTGATTCAAACTTTCTCAAATCAGGTAAATTATATGATTAATTTTTGAAAGCAACATAAGTCTATCAAGTGGAAATCTCTGTTGAAAAGAAATTTGAAGATATTATGATGGTAATGGTATAGGCAACCACTAGTTCTTTAACTCATTCAATCCAAAAAATTTTAAATCAGTCAATTAACATGTAAGATTGATTAATGAAACCTTAAGTAAGACGATAACTGTCAAGTCTGAAAGTTGTAAAGGTATTTTTTAGATGATTAATCTTCAAAGTGAAGTTCAAGATGACAAACATCTTCGAAGTAAAAATTGATTGTGAAGAGAAAGCACAAAATGTCTCTGTCAGAGGATTTATGTCCAAAGAGGACTCCAAAATCACGATGAGAATTGTATTATCATAATTGGGACTATCACTAGGTGATCAAATTGATTTGAAATCATAAGCATGATGTTGATATGGTGATTTGCAGAGACATTTTGGTCGTCGGAAATCAGTACTTAACAACAAGATGCGGTGGAAACAGCTCATCATGAATTTCAGGAGGAATCATGTCTTCTCCAAAATCATTTGCAGGTCGGTTGATTTGTCATTGTCAAATGGCATCTGAAGAGTTTCAAAATTGTTTGACAGCAGAAGTATTTAAAAGTTATTGTCCATATTTTACTTTCAGTTATCTCTTATGCATAATATCCCTGCTATCCACCCAAGTTATAACATTGCCTATATCGGGAACTTCACAAATATATGAAACCACACATCAGGCTTGCCCTTAAGTATAAACTGTTGTTGGAGAAATATAGGTCTAAGCTCAGTATAGAACAACCTCTCTTATCTAAACAGTCATTTCAACGCTAAATTGCACCAACACAATGCTCAAATTTAGTCATTTGCATTGTTCACATAGAAATCGCTTGGGTCGTGCACGAAGCGAATAAAAGCGTTTTATGTTTACATTTTTTATCCATATGCTTTCTACCAAACTACTAGTTTCAAACGCTATCATTTTCCAACAACAAAAGTAAAGAAAAAACTAATGTATAAAGCATTTTAAGACTTTTATTTAGTATCCTCTCAAATAGGAACATCATCACCCGATCATCAGCAAATGAACACTAACAGATCGTAAATTTGATAAGAGATTTTAGTTTAAAACACGCATTGTGTAAAAAAAACTCCAATTTTAAATTATACTACATACGTAACAGTCTGAGGTATGGGGGTTCATAGAAGCATAATCGAAGGTATTATATTGAATCCAAATATAACAAAGATGATTTAATAAATTGATTTCATTTTCTAAAATGTGATTCAATTACTTCAGTGTGTTTAGATAAATTAGATAAACATTGGAATGGAATGTATTCGTCTCGATGGAGATATAGCTATCGGTTCTATTTACATACAGTACCTATAGAGATGTTTATTTTTCTTATATGCTCGGTTCGCTGGCCGCCCGGACAAAGACCTTGAGGATGTGAGAAGCCAAACCATTGTTCGCTCAGGGTCACGGAAAGTCATGTGTGAGTTTAGTTGCTTGTTAAAAACAAAGACGTGTGAAATCATACAACAGGACTATGACAAATGTTTTTCCATCCATTAATGGACGTGAAAGATGTTATTATTATATCACGGAACAATCTATATAGGTTGGTCCCATTTCACAAAATGCAAAGACCGTTTTGCTCTCATGAATCTCCAGTAGCTAATTTCGTCTAGCCCTTGTTTTGTTCTATAAAGAATATTACTAAAAAAAATCGAAAATCATCATAACACGTTTTACAGGACACTTAAATGGTTGTTGAGTCTTCAAAAAAGGGTTTCCACATTTCAGAAAGCTAGCAATAGGCCTACGAATTTTCAATAATTTATCAATTATCTCCGTGTCCCATCCATCTCAGCTTTCCAATATCTTTTCTTGTTGTTCTACCAGATGAGTTTCACCAGTCCATGTTTCTTCCAGCTATGTTGCACAAAAACATAGAGAGCCGAAGACAGAGCAAATGGCTGATGAAGTCTAAAATAGAGAGACTGTCGAATGATCGAATCATGTACATTGTAACAGTTAGCCTTGTGGTACGTCGATCACAGAGTTGTCTGCAATCACCTTGCACACGTCTACCCAATCGATTAACTAAGGGCAGAGACCCTTATCCTTTAACTCCAAGTAGACATCAGTAATCACGACCATTACGACAATCTTTAACCTTGAAGGCACAAAGGGAGCAAGGGCGGACAAACTCCAACGAACTGTCGACCGATAACTCTTCTCCAACGTTTTCGCAAGGCTGACAAAACACTTCACCCCGTCACTGCGCTAATTACCATGTTAATACGGGCTACGAAACGGTAACGAACTGCGCCAATTTGTGCAACGGTTTGCGCAATTCCTCGCACGCACAACCCACTAGAAAGGTGTGAAGTCATCCTCGTGATGTAAGGATCATGAAGGATGTGTTACGGGACGATCCTTTGGAAAGGATGACAGTTAATTATGAGCGGATTCGGGTCCAAGGATGCGCACTATTTAAAACACCTTTCCAAAATGCCTTTGTGAAGCTGTAGGTTTAAAGAGACCGAGGATACCTAAACTGCAATTAAGTGGTTGAAGAACCCTCTTGAATGATCGACATTTTGTTTCAAGGTTCGTTCCCTTTTACTATTTGTCATCAAAGAAAATTATATGACATTCCTGCACATGCGGTAATGTAGAACATGTGGAGATGCGGTTTGACACTACAGACTTCTTTGGTTTACCACTAATTTAGGGATTTCTAGCGGCGTTCTCTACAAAAAATGTTGAAGACATTTCACCAAGACTAAATTATAGTACGTGCTGGTAAATCTGCAGTGTTGTCACGTGAATGATCTTGAAATAATTTCAATAATGGTAATACGAGTTCTTCTAAAAATGTTATCTAATACTTCAGTTCAGTGATTAAAATCAAATGTGGCTAAGCAACGAATTATTTTTGAAATCCTTGTATTTTTTGTCGGATACAATAACCATTCATCTCATCTCTACATTCGTGGTAAATCGATCTGTATTATTGAGCTCGGTATTTGTAAAGAACATCTTGTGTAGTGCACATGTATCCGATGGAATTAACCAAACACACATCACAGTACTGTAGTTTGAGTTTAACTTTACTCCACATTTTTAAATATTACAAAACATATACTTATGTTTTTATTTTTTTTATTTTGCATATTATTATATAATAAGATATCAAAGATGCCAAAGATATTACATAAATTTATTAATTTTCAAAAGCCTTTGAGATTTTTAAAAATAATAATATCCCAATAAGATATCTAACACCTCGATTGAAGGGCTCTCTTTTTCGGGAATGCGCAAAGGGAATGGATTGAAAGTGAAAATGAGCAATTAATGGAAAGTAGTAATTCTTGAACAATCACTGCTATGAGCGATTCGCTACACCTCTACAAGAAGGAAAGGATAGAAATGACGGAAGTAAAAGTCAACTGTCACCCAAGCTGTATACTATATTTACATGCCAAATAATTAATAGCCTCCCCTCTGGTTATGAGTTTTAATTAGTACCACAGAATTACGAGACAGGAATCTAAGAGAGATTTTCGGAGTATAGAGGCAAATTACTTTCTTTAGTGCTTTTAAATTTGAACATTTTCCATTTTTGGACTTATCTATGAGAAGTTCTTTTGAATATGAGTTCAATAACCAATATTTTGATTTAAAATGTCTATGTTGCAAGTAACACATAATTTTTTGAGGTTAGACGGTAACATAAAAAAGGTTTTCCTAAACAACATGTAATAAGGATGAAAATTATCCCTTCCAATACTGCTCAGCCTATTTGTTTATTTAATTACAAGATGATTGGTGTTGACAAAAATAATATGTATCATGGACTTTTGATCAGGTACATCTTAAGACTTAGAACACTAAAATTGCGTTTGTCCTTGGATAATTAGTAATAGTATTGAGCTAGGATGTCATTCCGATCATCTCAGTCTCCTATTGGCCTGATGATATCCGACGTAAATGGTCGAAATCGATACAAATGCAACATATTTTACGTAATTTACCATCCTGTAAATAATTCAAGTATAAGTATATACATTGAATAATGTTGGAGGCATTAATATCTCCCGCGAAAAAGCACCGACGCGCGTAACGCTTATGAAGAAGGTACGAGGTAATGTAGTAATGTATAAGAAGCTAATGTAGTTGCCACTCATTAGCTAAGTACTGTCATTCTGTTAAGTACTTTCGACTAGCTGTAGTAGCTATTACGATCCGTAGTTAGTACTGAGCTGCAAATACAACTGTAATAGTTATATAATGATATGGACGACGTTATTTAATCCTTGAGAGGTATGTAGTTTTCAAATGAAAGTTGATCGCATTACGAGTGAGTTAATTAATCAAATGTATAACAGTTTTCCCTTATTGCTGGTTCTTGAAGAATCTTCCTTGTCTTAACTGTTAATTCTTCTTAACATTTTATCCAAAAATCTCAATCACTATAACTTGACGGGTACGCCACCGTCAATTTGTATCCTTTCTTGCTAACGTCCAACGTCAAGTTTTCTCGTGGTCCAAGAAAGTCAAATTGACGAAGAGACAACTACTTGACGTAGAGACAATTTAACGTCAAGACAATATACGCGGTCCTCTTTGGAATCTATTTTTTTCCTTCCTTAATTCCTTTAACTTCGCAGTGGTGTTCGAGTTTCCAAAAATTGCAAAATTATTTTCAAAGTTTATAATGTGAAATATAGACATGATATTATAAAAGATCTTTGACCACGAACCTGAGACTTGGTTGGCAGTGAGGTCGTCAGTCTGCACCCTTGTCTCCATCTGCCGCAGTTTAGTGTGTAGTTCCCGCGTGTGTAGGAACAGGAACAGGGTGCTGGAGATGGCCATCAGGGCTACCAACTCACTGGTCCTGCAAACAAAAAACTCTGTGAAAACTCACTACATATGTAAAAGTGTTAAATTATTGAAATTGAGTTCAGAAAGCAGGACGGAATATAACAAATGCGCACAGTAAAGTTCACGATGTTTATGTGGGGGAAATGGTGTGGTAAGAAAGGCAAAATAAAAATGTCAAAATAAGCGTATTTTAGAAGCATATCAATCCAATTATATTAGCAACCATTACTGTATTCAATGAACAGAGTCATTGTGCGACGAGTGCGATGCACGTGGAAGAGAATGGAGAATCGAGGATTTAGTCAATTGTAGAATGGCAAAGGATGGCAAAAAAGAGTTTGGTAAAAATTCTAAATAAGAAAGTCTTAAAAATATATCTTTTTATAAAGACGTCAGTGCCAAGAGGCCATTCTTCAACAGCAACTATTCGAAGCCACACAGTATTAAATGACCACTTAAAGTAATCTTATCACTTTCAATATTCACTTAGCATTAAAACCGTTGTTATAAAATATACAACTTTAATGGTTTAAATTGCCTTTATATTACCTTGGTTGGATTAGGTCAACGTATTAAATCACTGTTTCATCAACAATCACACGCAATAAAATAGGTAAATTTGCATGTGAACAATGTATGTTGCGAACAGTATGATATCATGCGTTTTGACCTTATCCTTGGAATATTTATATCATTTTGTAACGTGATGCAAAGAGTTGGACGATTTTGTCATTGAATTGGCCCACAATAGGATGAGATAAACTTTAATTTTACGGATTCAAATTATACGCCAACTGACGTGTAAAATTAAAGGCGAGTACTTGACAAATATATGACGTGCGTAGTGAGTACTTTCAAAGTCTGACCTTTAGTTTGGCCTAGTTCTACTAACAATAATAGGTCGTATATTTGTAAATTCAGATACTGAATGGATAACGATGTTCTAGAAATCATTTGAGGATGTTGCTAACATACAATACTTGTTATTTATACAAATTGTGATTATTATAACACGGTTTCAAATTTTCCAACTCAAATAACAAAGTTAAGTATTCAAACGAGAATACCTAATCGTTATTCCTCTCTAAAAGGTGTTCTATAAAAATTTAAAAATATATTAAATTCACTTATTGGCATATCATATAAATAATTTTAGAAGTAAATATTGATTGTTCCAGGGCTACAAAAAACCACCTAGTTCACATTTGCCTTAGTTTGTAATTTGATAAAGGGTGTGATTAAACCCCTGCATACAATTAATTCAAATCAAACAGTAAGCATATTTTGTCAACAAATTGTAAAATAAGTTAGTGTATTTAAACGTATAGTAGAACAGATAACTGTATGGATCATAAACATAAACAGACTACGTCACCGCTCCGAATTTAAACAGGTTTGTATTTATATACAGATGGAACTGTTATGATTATTAGCTTACATTCGAAACAGTGACGTAATTTCCTCAAGCTTATGATACATACAGATTTTCGACGGTAGTTTGAGGGTACTGTTTTTTTACTTCTTCAGTTTCTGACCCAGTTACAAAGAGAGTTAAAACCTACAAAAAAGAACATTAAACTTAAGAACCCCACGAAACTAAAACCAAAACAATACCACAGTCCAACAAATTATCTTTGAATCCAGCCACGCCATGAGTGTGCAGCTACCGGATAAATTGTTTAGATTAATTGCCACACTTAAAGACTACCAATTACCGCAATGTCGTTAGCTCAAATTAAACCCAATTAGGAAGAGATGAGCATCCTACAGGGCGAAGGATACGTCGGCGAGAATAACTGCTTCCTACCACTTAGAAATGTCCTTTACTAAAGTTGTTTTCTTTTGCGCGTTTGCATTTTAGTAAAAGTTGTTGTGTAGAGCTAAGTGAAGTGATTGTTTGGTACTTTCCTGTTAAAGGGAACATTCATTATTATCGATGATTTTTTCTCGATATATCGATGTTTTTGTTTTCCGATCCATTACAAATTGACAACAAGAAATGAAACTGCTCTAAGCTAACCTAACATAACCAACCATACTTGCTGTACCATTTAAAAATTCCGATTGGGTTTGAATATAAAAGGCAAGTTATAAACGCGGAATTTTTAAATGTTACAGCAAGTTTGGTTAGTTATGTTAGGTTATTTATTTTAGAACAGTTTCATTTCATTAATGTTTGTTGATACTGAACAATATTTTTCGTAATTGTCAGCTGATATGTTTCAATTTGTTAATATCGATATATCGAGAAAAAATCATCGATAATAATGAATGTTCCCTTTAACAGGAAAGTACCGATTGTTTTTACATAATACGTGTCACTGATATAATTCACCATAACAGTCTACTTTATATGACATCTATGTCCCTAAACGCATTATTGTTATATCCAGCAGTCTTCTATCACGTAGCTGGATGGGCGGGTAAGGAGATCTCCCCATTCTATCATAGAAACATAGCAACTTTATTTGGATATTGCTAGAAGGCTTCCCATTTTATTATGAAAAACTGCAGTCAATTCTGATGTGTGTAATGTGTGTTAAGTGTGAATTTTATAGGTTGTACTAATCAGTAGTTAAGCAAAATTTCAAAAATAAATCGTTCTATTTGGCCCTAATAGGTTTTGAAGTTGATGAAATAACTGGAAAAACAGTAAACCTCAAAAGGGTCTAAATGAATACGATACAGAAACATCTACTGAACTGCCTTCAGCTGATCCTAAATTATGAATCTGTAATGGAGTACAGTATGTTAAATCTATGATAGATGTTTCACATCGTCGAACACAGGAGCTCATTTTGGAAGTCTCTTGAGCACTGATAAGCCATACATTGCAGTTTACGACAAGTAGTCTCGTTCCAAAAACGTAAATGTGGTCGAGAAAGTGAATTTATACTTTAGAATAAACAGAGCCAGCGGGTCAAAGATCAGAGTGCTTAATAACCGTGAAGCATTAGACTAACAATGGCTGCGATTTCCATTGTTTCAGACAACTTTTAGACTATGAATGGAACCTGAAAAGAGCTTGATTGCATGAAAACAAAGACTGTGAAATTGAAATCAACCATCTGAAAGAATGTGACAAAATTAAGTTGTTTGGAATAACGTGTAATTTAGTCGACCTTTTCAGACTCTATTGTGATTCTAAATAGTAATACAAACACAATCCAGCAGAATTCGTAGTATAGAAACTACAATTGAAAGTTATGTATTTAATCAAAATAAGGAGAAATTGAGCAGTGCAATATTTCCTCTTTCATTTTATATAACAAGCTACTCATGGTTTTCAAGATTCAATAAATGATCCCTATACAATATACAAGGTAGTCCTTTTAAATTGCGTTTAACCGAGTGTAGAACAATTGATAACTCAAGAAACAAGGTCTCATTTGATTTGGATTTGAATTTTCTACATTTTTTATTATTAAAATAACATTCTTAATATTTGCGGTTTTCATGAAATTTTACTATTTTAAATGGCCGCCATATTGAAATGGCTTGAGATATTTTAACGAAATTGTTGAGCTTTTTTACCTTTTAAACTACATATTTTTACCAATTTAGAACTTTCTATATTGAAAAATGCCTAAGATATAAAATAATTTTCAAAAATCACCAACAGACAGAAATCTAGGCATTACTTACTTATTATCTAGGCACCCATACTTTATGTTTGTCTTAGCCCATGGAACAAGTCCACAAAATATGTCCAGACAATTTGGAAACACACTGTATAAATGCATATCCTAAATTATTCTTTAGGGAAAGGTCCTATGAAAAGTCACGATTGTTATCGAGAGATCTAGTAGACAGTAGTCACACTAAATGATACACTTTAGATAGGTACACTTAACATTATACAATTTACATAGTAACAAAGTCTTTGATATCTGTGTATAACCCGTACAGAGTGATTCAAATGGACCGATACACTCGAATACAGCATCGGATTAGGTACACATTTTTAAAGCTGAATACGAACATAAGACAGTGTAGAATTCAGAAAATGGTATGTGTAGCTTTGTGACTGCCTACGATCACCTAGAACGCCTACGTTCAACCAGAATCATTTATCAAAATCTTCAATGATCAAGAAATTCCGGGCTCAGTTTCGTACCAACAAAAGCAACTGACATAACTCTGGATTAATCCGTTACTAGATTGTCAAAACTGCAAAATCCCACACACTCTAACTAGAACAAGAGACAGCAAATCTTCATCTCTCCGGACAGTTATTAGACGTTTTCGCCGCGGTATGTCGGTTTCACGCCCGTCCCTCATGTCAACTTGACCCTCACGTCCGAGTTTCTCGGGTCAGTGCGGATAGTAATTCCCTGCTACAATCTGGACGTGAACAAATACGTCGGGAAAGTAGCGAACTGGACCTGGAGACTGGAGAAACTGTGTGGACAGTTATGGTCATTGCGGGACGTGGCCGGAGCTGGAAACGGACCGTAGCATTGTTGTGGGAAGGGGATACAGGGACGTCGTGGTATTCGGTGGTATTATGGGATTTATGTACGGTTTATCTATACTAAGTTAGGTAATTGTGTATTCAAATATACTTACACATAGCAAGCGATTTGTATTATATTTGCGCCAAAACTTTACATTGCCATTCCTATTGGAAATATGTAAGGTTGTCTACTGTCACATATTAGCGTTTTCCAGGTAATTTAGACTTATGCTTTAATAAACATATTTTAATATTTATACTCATTTACTAAACAGATTTTGTTCGTATGATATCAATAAAACTGCATAGTAAAAATTGGTGATTCTGCCTAGTAGAACTTTGATAGTGCAAAGTTGAGTTGATAAACATTTATATCATGAAGTTTTCCGTTTTCAACCAGTATCACTAGCATCAATACATATCACGAATACTAGAAAAGACCAGGTATCGATCATAAACATAAACAAATGAAGTTTTTGGCCCAAAAGTAAACAAAACCACATATTAATTAATGCTATTAGTATAGGGGTTTCGTTTACTTTCGGGCCAAGCGGCAT